AGAAAATAAAAAAATATATTACTAATATTAAATAGAAACTATATAAAACATAAAGCAAAGATTGAATAAGCACAGGCGGATCTACGGTGGAAGGAGTTTTCGGGTTAAAGCCTCACCCCAAAATGGTAAAATATATCTATACCTTATGAGAAAAATGTCTTTAAAATTCGCTAAAAGTATAAATAGGAGCATAGGACGTCGTAAAATACTTATGTTCCTATCATATATATTAATTGCTATTAATTTTATTTTTGTTTTCGAAATATTGGAGGGAGGGGAGTGACGAAATGATATTCTCGCTCTCTCTCTGTTTTAATGCGGGTCTGCGCCTATGGTCTGTTTCATCGTTATGAACTTAAGATGGTCTTTATAAAACTGATTTGTGACCTGTCTCGCGAGATAGAAAACGAAGATAAATTGGTTTGTTATCAAACGTAATCAAACAAACATTGACAAGACATATGAAGAGATTCCATCGTACGTGACCTATACATAAAATATTTTGAACCCATCTGTGAAGGACGAAGCTTGTAGCCATAATTCTCTTGTTACAAGCGGTCGTATGAAAATAAGGTAATGTGACTTTTTATTAGTTATGGAAAGTTTCTAAATTAAGCACTAAGGTCATCGATTGCATTGGAAATTCATCAGACCATTCATCAATTGAGACATTGGTTAGTCAGCTGTTCCATTAGCTATTGGGTTCGATTATAGGACCATTAATATTGAGTCTCAAATGTCTTTCTTTACAATTTTTTAATTCTGAAATATAATTAAAAATTAACTACATAACCTTACTATTTAGCTTTAAATACTAAATAGATGAAGGTACTGAAGTTATCATTTTGATTTATTTAGTTCATTTTTCTTTGTATACATTCACTTTTACTATTATTATTTCGCTGCAGGTGTGTCCAGAAGGGGGTTTGATGGCGTTGCGCCATCAAAATTTTTAATCTGGTCATATTTTGATGGAATTTTGAATTTTTATGGGGACTAATTTCACAAGAAGTTACGAATTTTTTGATTGAAAAGTTTCAAACCAGAATACATGTAACAAACTGTAGCAAGTGAAGTTGTACATGATCTACGGTACTTTTATTTCTAATGTTTTTAAGAATAAAATAAAATAGCTTAGAGAAGGGGGAAGGTTCTTGCGCCATAGACCTTGGGTGGGGGGGGGGGACCTCTGTTTCGCTGTTTAATTTATTGTACAGAGAGTGTGAATAAAACACTGTATCACTATTACTAATGTTCTTAAACGTGATTAAACGTAATATTACTCAACGAAGAATTATGTAACCTCCATTTTAGAGACATGTGTGGTTAGAATATTTCAAATTATAACTTAACATTACATTTCTGTTCCTTTGTGAGTATTTACTCGTTTACAATTTATATAGCCACATATATTATCACAGTAAGGCTCGAAATCGGTTTTGTACCAAATATAAGCTCCTGTCATGCTCAAATACCATGAATGGGGTACCGTTGGATTCAGAATTTCACGGTGGGTTAGCTAATCGTATTCTTCGATTTTGTTTTTCTTTCTAAAATAAATAAAGTCAATACAAACATTTTGCTAGGCTTCAATACTAGAACGGTGGTAGGTCTGTAGATCGATGCGGGACAAATTGGATCTTTAAGATTTTGATGCGTACAACAAGACCCGGATAGTTCCTCTGGAACTATCGGATCCTGCGTTTTTAAGCCAAAAACCGTACTATTTTCGAGATAACGCAAGGCATGGGGTTCGCATCCACACAACCTTACATTAATTGTAGTACTGGCATTAGATACATGTCTCATTTCGTCGACTTGAGGCCTCTATGATCGAGAGAGGAGGAGTTTATATTATTTATCGATGGTGTTTTTGATCGGCAAGCCATATCATCGTTAATACTTCATCAAATCTCAAGATTGAGCCACCAATTTCGAAGGATTCCTTCTCCTTCAGGCGGGCCAAATAGTTCAATCATCCCGAAAATTCAGGCAAACAAGTTATGAAAGAAAACAAACTTTATTTGCAAATAACTAAAAAATTACACACTTTTTCCTTGGTTTTTCCCATGATTATATAAAACATTACTAAATTGTCTATAAAAGGAAAAAAATCATTGAAATCGGTCAACTTTTCGCAAAGATACAGCTTATTGAAATTTGTAAATATGTTGGTTCCAAACAAAAATGAAGACTTAAATTAATTTTGTTTCCTTTGTCGATTATATTTAACAATAAAGTAACAATTGATTCATTTATCTTTTGATACGTTGTATTATTTTATTTTCTTATCAATTTGGCATTTGATAACAATATGCTCTGCGAATATTTTGCACGGGCCTACTAGTTTATATATATTTCTGTTTCAAGATTCTATATATATATATATATATATATATATATATATCCCTGTTTCTAAACTCGCTTTACTTAAGTGCTGTATTCAATCGATTGGTAGATTCATCGATGGTTTTAGGCACTTGCTCATATTGTTCGATACTTCAATTATTTAAACATTCTGATGTTATTGATAATGATTCGTAGTAAAAATACTAATTTTTAAATATTTCTTACCTCGTTAATTATTAAGAAAAATGCTTGTATTAAATGTTTAAATATTATTTATTTGATATTTTCAAATTTGAATCGAAATTTAAAGATGCATGGGCAGTTGGATCGATCGCGAACGAAAGTTCAGCGACCGCGTGTTGATGACCCAGTGCCTCCACTATCTGTTAGCTAAGAGCATTTACCTACCTCACTCCTCATTAGCATAACCTGTATCCTTCACGGAGATCTTTACTCATTCTCGGCTCAGTTTCTTGCATCTAATTAAAGTTATATTGTTTTTACTTTTTGTTTTTTAAAACTATATTAATAATATATATAAAGTTAAAGAGGTAGTTATTTATAATTTCAGGAACAAGCTGGTCCAATTTGTTTTTTTCGCATTAGATAGTCCGTATATTGAGGAAGCATTTAGGATATATAATATTCTCCTGTGAGCCATTAAACATAAACGTGAATCGATCAGGAAAAACTTTAGACAATTACGTTAGTAAAGCTTCCTGTAAACATCGTTTAAAATCCTTACAGATAAACAAGAGTGACTAACTTTTAAGCGGAGATAACGGCATTATAGTATCTTTAAATCATTACAAAAAAGGGTGCAAATTATTCCACAATGGTTTATTATTTCCAGACAACTATACATCTAAAGTAACATTACCTTCATAGTTACAAAGAAAACTAAATAAAAGGTGATTCCAATTATTGGACTAAACTTTTTTTTTTTAATCATTGGTAATATGCTAAAAAAAAAAAGCATTACATCAGCCACATATTCAAAATTTAAAAACCAAACAAAAAATATAACGTTTGGAGTAGAACATATTTAAAAAACGTTGCAAATTATTTCCAAACAATTATACATCTAAAGTAACGTTACCTCCATAGTTACAAATAAAAATAAATAAAAGGTGATTAAAATTATTGGACTAAACTTTTTTTTTTAATCATTGGTAATATGCTAAAAAAAAAAAAAAAGCATTACTTCAGTAACACATTCAAAATTTAAAAACCAAAACAAAGGATATAACATTTGCAGTAGAACATATAAAAAAAAACTAGACACCGCATCTTTGATTCCAATTATTGGACTAAACAAAAGATGACTTTAGCGAAGTTTCATTGGAATCGGTACATTCGTTTAGGAGCTACAGTCTATAGCAACGCAGGTTTTTCGGCCGCCATTTTGAAAGTAAAAGGCGGATGGTAATATCGATGAGGGAGGATCATACTCGGGTGTCAGATCTTGGAAAATCTCGCTGCCTGAGATCCCTTCCGCGATGTGATTTTCCAGTATGTCAGTGGCCCAACGGAGGTTTTGTTTCTTGAACTGTCTGATATGGAGAAATAAATATAGATCATCGTACTCCAGCTGCCTCATAATCTCAGCAGCCATAAACCATGGATCTAGACCGATTTATTACTGTCCTTAAACCCGAGTAAGTCGGTTGAAATAGCTGTGCAAGATTGGCTCCAAAGAGGTCTACAATGAAATAAATTTTGACCTTAAATATTAAATATTAAAAACAACTTTGACTTTATCTTGTGACACTCAATTTGAGAACTCAGGTTCATGTTAATTTTATTTATTTAGACATATAATATTCTGTCTCGAGGACAATAATCATAGAGATAAATGAACACTTTCCCACCATATATACAAATAATATAAAATTAAGAAAAGTAAAATAATAATAAATAAAAACTATGTACAATAAAAAAATAAAAAAGTATAAGTAAATTAAAAATATAAAAACACAGTCATACCTATATACAATATATACAATCAGGCAATGAACCCAAATCCGCTACTCTCTCCAACGCGTCACTGGTGCTAAAGCCAGTGGAGTTGGAGCGAGAGTGCTTTAGCCACATACACTCATGTCACACATACACTGGCCATTGCCATGCCACATACACTGGCCATTGCCAGAACTCCAAGATATGTACTATAAAAGATCTCTGGGCCACTGCCGCTTCAACCTTCGAGTAGGATTGTAGGGATGAGTGGAACTAGATAGGGATTGGGCTAGGGGATTTGGATGATTGATAAGGTTCTGATGGAATTTGGAAAATGTTTCAGGGATAAGGTCAAGGACAAATGGGATATTAGGGTCATGATGTAAAAATAATTCTTTATATCTCTGACTAAATTTGTTTTCTGTGAATAGTATTGAGATTTCTAGGTGATTAATTGTAAACTAACTTCCTCTAGCCCTTGGCTCGTATAGTTAATATTCAGTGAGCTGTGAACTAACAATGGCGCCATAAACCGTGACATCTTGATCTGTCCTGACCAATGCCATGATGACCTTATGTTTCGTGATGTATACTAAAACTTTTACAGCTTTTGTTTTTGACTGATTATTGTTCAAATAATTCGCAATTATATAAGTTATGTATCAATGTTCATTGTTGACCATTTGTTCCAGGACGACGACTCATCGACGATGTGTCAGGTCGCTTCTTACCCGGTCAGCTCACGGCCATCCTCGGTCCTTCCGGGGCAGGAAAGACGACACTCCTTAACGCCATCTCAGGATTCAGGTATGTAATAAAATACAATATATAAATTATTAAATACATACCAAATGTGACGATGAACAATGCTAAAAAACAAGGTTTCTGAAGTGCTATCCTTCGAGGTTGATAGCGCATGCAATTCCCTCTCCTCTCCCTCCTCAAGATATTTAATTGCTTTCCTCTTTTTAGAAACAATGCGAGCGAAAGTATAATTAAATAACTCGTAGATAAAATACAATTATACATTCTGCGGTCTGTCCATATTTCCTCATTGTCCTCTCCTCAACCTCTTCAATATCTTATCTAATACCATAACCTCAGCTACAAGATAAGATGATTAAATACCCAGGATTTTAAAGCATCATAACAAACTATTTCAACAAGAACTTAAATCAAATTATCTCTTTTTAATATGAAACTGTGAAATAAGCCACAAAATGTTAAATTATATAAATAGTAAATTTTATTTTAATGAAGAAGCCGCATATATAGGAACACTCAGAATGAGCCCACATGCAGCAGAATGGTACCACAGCTCATCCTTGCCTTCAATCGAGCACAAGATGCAGCAAGAATTCTTCATATCATCATGTCATGTCCACCTTTAATTATTTTATAACATCATTATTACTCAATCCATTCTTATTAAATGATTCAAATAAGTTAAAATTACCTTATCATGTGTCACCCACATGTCATCAGTCTCATTTCTATTCAGTGACTGGTTATTCTTATAGGAGTAGGCGAAGACTATTTATTATAATCATATATGGTTTTTTTTGTTTGGTATGACATCAAACAAAAAGTCTATGCAAGTCCGATCAATGACCTCAATTCCTTACGAAGAAGGATAATTGAATCTTATAGAACAATAAAACATAGATACAGTGCCGTTCTGTCACTGCTGCTGTTGAAGATGTCTGTCTTAACGATCAAGGAAATCACTTTGAACAACATTTAATATGAATTTGATGTTTAAATTTAATTAATAGAGTAGTTAGAACAAATAAATAGATTTTATTTATTTCATATAACATAAATTCATAACAACGAAAATATAGCTTTTGCAGACATACCTTCAGAGGAAATTTTTTTCTTGTTTTGAGGTCTTTAGTTCATATTTTCAATTTGGCACGTTAACCCTGAAACATCCTGTATACTTGCAGCGGTATGGTCCATGTTTTTATCCTAGTTCTCTGGTTTGAAACTTTTCGTTCTGAATATTAATAACCCCGTCGAAATCCCCTCCCCCTCAAAAATTCCAACTATGGTCAAAATGTACGCTGATCAGTAACCACAAGTATAGTAAAATAATTTGGTCTTCTAAGGGTTATCCCTAAGCGTAGTATGGAGTTTTAGATTAAGATTACTTTAGATTCCTTGCGTTTTGAGATTCGAAAAATACTTAAAAATCTGAACTTTTTGCCACAACTTTACTCAATATAGACATATAATTGATTATAGTTGATTATAGTTGATTAAAAATCATTCAGTCATTCCAGTCAAAAGTCGTCCGGAAAATTGTAGACGCACCCTTTTACGTTTCAAACCTCACGTTACACACTGACCTTAACACTCCTTTCATCGCAGCAACTGCCACTGACCGCTTTAATAATTTTCATGACAGACTGATTCTAAATTCCAATCCACTTACTCAAGCTCTATCTACTGCCTCAAATCCATATAATCCGCCCAGAAGACTGCTGAGGCGCTGGCCAAGAGACTTATTGCATTGAGCTTCTTATCTTTTTTGTGTTTGTATTTGTTATTATGTTATAATGTATGTGTTATTTTACTACGGTTTTTTTTTTTCGTCTTTTTGTTTTGTTATTCTTCTCCTTGATATTTGCTGAATACCGAGGTAGATGGCAAATTTATTGTGATCCACAAATATGTACAACTAATAAATAATAATATTATCCAACATCATATAAATCCTGTGCAGGCTAAGACATGCTGATATCTGTGATTGAAAGTGAGAACTACTGAATACGTCTTCTTTCCCCAATTACAAAATTTTAAAACTCTTTCAAAACTCCAAAAGTAAAACAAATCCTAAAGTATGCTGATTTAGACAAAGATTTTATTTTTATTTTCTTGATTTTTGCCCAGATTCTTATCATTAATTTCGCAACATATCGTGAAAATTATTGGTCAATTCTTTTTACAGTCGCAAAAAGTTCAGTTGTGAGTTTCGCCATCGTATGCATCTTCGAAAAAAAAAATAGCTGGATCTCTTCTTGGCCAAGAACTTTTACACAAGACAGCTTCTCTTTCTCTTGACCTACTGGCATTACCTTTTTGTAAGATAATAAACGGAATGAAAAAAATAAAATTGGTACTAGAAACCTTCTTTGTATGTCAGCCAGCGGTTTTAGTGCGTCGTAAAAGCTTGTTCAATCACGTCTTGATTGTCTACCAATAAGTCTGCAACAGCCTCCATAAATCTAAGTAACATAGATATTTATGGTAAAGGACAGAGTGTAGAAGGTTTGCCTTATCAAGTATAATGGAGGTAAAAACTATTATACATTCGAATGATGCATTCGCGATTGTTGAAATTGCATCACCCAGCAAAAATTGTATTAATTTTTACTTTCATTTATCTTCTTCTTCTTAATTAATTCCTCATCTACCGCTAGATCAGTGTAGAGGATCCTGTTTATAGAGCTTCATCCATTTATCTCCTTTTTGCACCAGCTGACTGTGTCTTTTTCAGTTCATTTCTCTTCTATCCAAATCCTTCCTGATTGAATCTTCCCACATTTTTCTGGGCCTTCCTCTCGGCATCCTTCCACTTTTATTTCATATATATAATATGATAATAGACAATAAACCAGTTCCCTCAAAAACACATGTACGGTATCTCGGAGACTATACTTGGACAAAAAACTCACCTGGAACATTCACACTAAATTAAAAAAACAAGAACTGACCAGACGATACAAACAACTGTCACATCTTTTGGACTACAGATCTCCACTCAACTTACTAAACAAGCGACTAATCTACACCACTATACTAAGACCCATTTGGACATACGGAGCAGAACTTTGGGGTTCCGCAAAACGCACACACACATCAACAAAATTCAAACCACACAATCCAAAATACTCCGTAAAATTGTCAATGCTCCTTGGTTTATTTCAAATCACACCATACACAAAGACATGAACATACCAAAAGTAAAATCCTACATACACAACAAGTACACAACATTTCACACTTCTACTCTCAATCATCCAAATCCACTCGTTCTATCTCCATCTTCCTCCCTGTTACCTGGTGAGCCTCAAAGACGACTAAAAAGGCAGTGGCCTAGAGATCTGCTGAAAAGTCAAGAAGATATAATTAACGCCAACTCATTTGCTTGATGCGTTCCAACGCAGTGGCAAATTTAAAATAACAAAAAATAAATAAATATATAATAATAATTTATTTTATTTATTTATTTATTATATATTTTTGGCCATTCTTCCCTCCTGCATTCTTTTGACATGAGTAAACCAGCGTAGCCTGTTTTCCTCAATTGTGTTTTCTGCTAGTTTTATTCTCAAATTGCTTCTTATCGTTGTATTCCTGATTTTGTCTCTCCTAGTTTTCCCCTCTATTCTCCTCAGAAATCTCATTTCCATTGCTTGGATATTGCTTTTATGTTTTGAGGTTAGAATAGAATAGAAAATAATTTTATTCTGAGACGAAGTCGCTTTAGAATAACAAAATTAAAATTTTATATCTGGCCAAAAAAACAAACATAAAAAGTAAAGATAAAGATAAATCAGTAAAAAAATATTATACATACTATATACAAAATAAAATTTAAAAATCTATATACAAAACTCGTGAAACCTTACCAAGACACTTAAAACTATATACAATGGTAAAATATAAATATACACTTTTAGAAAAAATAAAAAATACAGAAAAAAATAAATGTAAATTCTTCTTAGCAGTAAACTCTGTGTTTCTGTTGAAAAAAAAAAAAGAAAGAAGAAAGTCGAATCTATAATAAGTATTTAAGTTATGAGTTATATGTGAATACATTATTTAACTGTTTTTGGGACAGGTGGGTTTCGAATGTCGATAGGGATGAAGAATGCCGAATTTTGATAGGAAGGGAATTCCAAAAATTAACAGTGCGAGCAATAAAGGAGTTTTGGAACGAGGCAGATCTGTGAGAAAGAATGAAAAGGTCGGAAGGTCGAGATCTTGTGGAGAGGGAGTGGACTGAGGACTTGAATTGGAGAAGGTTGTAGGCGTAAGAAGGATTGTTGATGATATGATAGAGGAACGTAGGTAGGAAACATTTTCTTCGAATGGAGGGGTCCAATACAAGCCAATCTAACTCAGTGTAGTGGTAAGAGACATGGTAGTATCTCGGGGCACCATTACAAATCTCATGCAACTGTTCATTAATCTTTCCAGTCTATCACGGAGCTCCACCGAGAGGCCATCATACACCACACAGCTATAGTCAAAGTGGGGGAAGATGAGACAGGAAATTAGGAGTCTATGCGTATGTTGAGGTAGGAGATGGCGGAAGCGATGGAATAGTTTGAGGGTAGAAATTGTCCGTCGGGAGATGTGAGAAATATGGTGATTCCAGAAGAGGTTTTGATCAATGAAAAATCCTAAATTTTTTACATAGGAGTAGAAGGAGATTGGCTGGTCACCAAGATTTAGTATGAGAAAGTTGGTGTAGGATCTAAGGAATATTCTATTATAGGTATAGGATATAAGGAATCCTAGGTTATAGTCTAGGATTCACTACCGCAGGTCAGTATGGAGACAAATATATTTTTATACACATTCAATAGAATCATTTATCTATGTATGAAATATATAGTAAGGAACACTATAGCGGTCGTCAAAATTTTCTTATGTGAATTTTCAACGGAAATACAACTTTTGAGGTCTCCTTAGTCCGAATAACCAAATCCCGCAAAATGGTCTGACAGGGGGACCAATGATGGACAGGTTGGACTTTAAATGTAAATAATAAGCTTCTTTGCTCAATTAAAGATTCCAGATTTTTTCTATAGTGAAAAAAAATGCCCTCTATTGACAACTGTATGAAAAAGATTTCCAAAAGAAAACTTCAGAATGTCTATTATCGTTGTTTCTGTTGTGCTCCCACAAGATGGTGTCTGTTTGTGTGTTTGTGTGTCTGTATGCATGTGACCAGTCTATCCTAAAAACGAAAAGTCGTATGAAAGCGAAATTGCATATTTAAGGTTTGTATATACCTGAGACGTTAGAGCAACTTTTTCGTCAAAATCGTTCAAATCAAAAGTGTTGCTTTATATCATTGATGAAACACATTTTTACAGTTTTCTCGAAAACGGCTCCAACGACTTTTGTTAAATTCATTGTAAGTGTAAAATTAAGCAGTTTTATATTTATATTAACTTCCACTAAAGTACCTTTATTTTTTTTTTTATTTGAAACAGTTAACGATTTCACAATGATCTCTAATATAAAAAATAGTTAAATATAAAATATACAGAAAATAGTTGTAATGAAGGAACACAAGAGCGCGTCCAAAGATTAGAACAGGCTTCCATATGAAACATGAACATTATATAATACAGACTCCGACAATATTATGTACATATACATATACGGTTTTCATAAATATTTCGTTGGTATTATTTAATATTTAATTGTATAGAATACAGCGATATAAATATTAAAAATTTTATATATAAAGGTACTTAATAATAATAATAAAAGGCTTAGCGAACCCGAAGGTTAGATGCCGACACCACCAATCGCTTATTACACACCTCCCTCCACCGTTCCACCCAGTCCCTTCAGATCGGCTTTAATGAAATCTTCCCACCTTCGCTTCGGTCTACCCCTCGGACGCATACCATTCGGCACAGCAAATATTAACCTTTTAGGAATACTCTCGTTATTAAGCCCAACAACTTTACAAGCCCATTTGATTCGCCATGATGAAATCATCTCAATTCTATTACCCGGATATAGTTCACGAAATTCGGCGTTGTGTAACCGTCTGAACTCTCCGATTATTTTCAAAAACCTTAAGACGCTGCTCATCCCTTAATGTAAGCGGCCAAGTTTCGCATCCATAAAGAACTGTAGGCAAGATAATTGTTTTATAGATTCTAATTTTTAAGTTCCGGGACAAGAGGCGCAAACTAAGTAGTTTTGTCACAGAAAAATAACAAGCATTTTCCGCCTTCAGTCTAACCTTAATTTCTTCTTCAATTTCGTTTTTTCTAGTTATCTTAGACCCTAGATACCTAAACTTCTCTACCTGTTCAAACATATTACCATCTATATCGATATCACCAGTAGTATCGCCATTTTTGCAGCTAACCATATATTTTGTTTTATCCACGTTTTTGTCGATTCCTAGTTCTTTACCGGCTTTCATTAACGTTGTCGTATTTAGTTTTATAGTTTCAACGTCTTCGCTTAACAGTACCAGATCATCAGCACAGCCCAGCACGGATGTTGTCCCACCCAGATTCAACCCTTTCTCGGTACGCATTACCTCCCTAATGGCATGTTCTAATGCCAAATTGAACAGGACAGGCGAAAGAAAGGTACTTAAACAAATAAAAATACCCACAACGAAATATAAATCAATATTTCATTTATAATTTTTACTTTAACTTTCCCTTTGTCTGAAAATACTTATTTCTGATAAGAAGAGGGTGGTCAGTGAAAGTTGTGTGATGCGCGCACCAGAATTTTTTATTTACCAGATTGCTATCCCTCGATATTTTTGACAGATTTTAAACGATATTCTAAAAACAATTTTTGTTTTATCCCGAAACTGTGACTATTGTTGATTGATGGTATCCTATCCTCGTTACTATTTCCGGTCAAATTTCCTTTTAACCACAATTTTAATACTTTAAGACGAAAACAGTTTTTGATACAGGTCATAATTATAGTTTCCTTCCAATCTTAATAAATAAAGAAAAACAAAAACATTCAATGGAATCAACGTTTTCAACATAATAATAATAAGAAATTGTTGATACAATTTCTATAACCGCGACTGTAGATGGATACTAATAACTTTATTAAATTGGATAAGCTATAAATAAATGAATCAATAATGTGAAGTAAGTGCGCAATATGTTTTAAATAAATTGACTTTGAATAAATATATTTTATTTTTATTTTTGAAGATAGATTTGTACCAGACTATCCCATAGCCACAAGGAGGGTAATGCGTGAAAGGTCACCGTTTGTAGGTTATTGTTACTCCGTGTCCGTTTGAAAGTATGTAACGGTTTTTTGAGCAAATGGCTAGACCTATTTACAAGTTTGACGGCTCAAATCATTTCGGTGAGATCCCGTGAGCGGTTGGATACAAGTCGAGCTTTTTTTTTTAGTGAAAAAAAGGTAAACTTCTTTAGGCAAGTTTTGAACTTTTTTTTAGAGAGTGAGATTTCCGAAGTGTTAACGTTCGCGTGAAGTCGGCAATAGTCGTCTAATTGAAATATTTTTACATATGGATTAAAATATCTCAGAAATTAAAAATCGAGCTTGCATACTCTAACCGAGGAGATTAGTCGGTATTTCATCGTCTGTAATAGGCTATAATTCAAAATTGTTTCTTAAAGCGACGCCAAGCTAGAGATACGAAAGGAGAAAAATAGTAATAATAACAATAAAGTAAGTATGAGAAAGTAATAATAAGAAGAAAAAAACAAATGATAACGAGTTTTATTGAAGATATGGATTAAACTCAGAAACTAAAAAGCGGACCTGCAGATTTCTGAAGTGTTAACGCTCGGATAAAGTCGGCAAGAGTCGGCTAATTGAAATGTTTTTACATATGGATTAAAATATCCCAGCGATTAAAAATGATAACGAGTTATATAGAAGATATGAATTGAAATATCTCATAAACTAAAAATCGGATCTGCCTAATGTAAGCGAGGAAATTGTTCAGCATTTCATCCTCTCTATAATTGGCTATTATTCAAAATTGGATCTTAACGCGACGCCGTGTTAGAGAGGCAAAAAGGAAAAAAAATGTGTCGAAAATCAAATGATAACGTGTTGTATAGAAGGTATTTTTAGTTTCTGGGATATTTCAAATGCCAGAAACTAAAAATCGGATCTGCATACTCTAAGCGAGGGTATTGTTCAACATTTCATCCTCTTTGTAATGAGCTATTATTTATAATTTATGTTTCATATTATTAATCTACTTTCTTGATGTTGATTTAGCTTCTATCGTGTGGTTTTCAGCATAAACCTTAGTTTTTTTTTTAAATTATTATTTATGAAATTTGCCACTGTATAAAACTTAATATACATTCAGTAATGTAAAACAGAGAAATACATGTCATGCCAATGCTTGTAAAGAATTCATTTATTGGTAGCTCTCTAATAAAGTATCTCAGGAGGCCATATTCTTTTCAGACAACTAGAGGGTTTATCAGGGATCTAGGTTCGAAACGAGAGGATTAGGATGGTTGTGAAGTTTATCATGGAAGAATAGATATCTAGATTGAGCCAAATCGGAAACATATGAAACATAGGTTTTTGACACTATTTTTCTTTTTCGCCCACTAAACAAAAGCGTTAAGATACAATTTCGAATTATATTCCATTACAGAGAGGATGAAATGCTGAACAATTTCCTCGCTTACAGTATGCAGGTCAGATTTTTAGTTTTGGGGTATTTCAATCCATTTTCATTACTCGACTCTGGCCAACTTTAACGGAGCGTTAACACTTCGAAAATCTGATCAATCTAATTTACTCTCCACAAAAAAGTGCAAAACGCTCCTAATGAAGTTTTCATTTAAAAAAAAAAAATTATATTTTTAGTATTCTCAAGGTTTTGTCAAGACAGAAATGAGATTGACACTTGTAGATCCACAGGAGTCGTAGTGAAGTAGAGTTTTCTCTCACTCAATATAATATCTACAAAACATCCTTCTAAGTTCATTTCATATCCTGATACTTTTCAATAAACAATATTAAATATTTGTTAAATATTAAATATTAAATATAACATGTTGATATGTCGACAGGCGGAGCGGGATGAGCGGTAAGCTGTCGGTGGGCTGCAGGTCATGCTACATCGCCCAGGAAGACGTCCTCGCCCCGATGATGTCCGCCGGCGAACTGATGGAGTTCGCGGCAAAGCTCAAGTTACCTTCCAGCTACAATTACAAACAGAGGACAACAGTGGTGAGTAAACATTTGTCAGGAAAACTAATATAAATTGAATGGTCTATGTCTTATATTTCGATAAAATTATTATTTAAAAAAAATTCTTTATTGGGATATATTACAATCTGTCACCAAAGAAGAAATGGATAGAGGACGTGGAGGAAAGCATGGCAGCCAGAGGGCACCGTGAAGGAGATTGGATGGACAGGGAACTGTGGCTTTTGGGTGTTGGGGATATGACTCCTTAAATTGTATAAAACCCAAATAAAATAATTAATTTTAATGTTTACATTTTTAATTTCTGGGAAGTTGTATGATATTCTTAGTTGGCTATGATTACTTCCAATTAGCAACAATTGAATATATTTGTTGTATTATCAAAATTACATGTTTACAAGTTTACGTTTCGGGATATTTACTCCCACCTTCAGAACCACAATCCCAATGATTTCGTGGATACAAGGCTTAAAAATAATGTGCTCCATCGTCAGTTCCTAATTCATATAACATATATATAATATCTAGAGTAATTATATACCCTATTGGGCAGACACCCAATAATTAGTCAAAAAGCAAGATATTGCTCTAGATGTTAAATACCTAGATTTATTATAACATGAGTTAGAAACTGACGATGGAACACATTATTTTTAAGCCTTGTATCCACAAGGCCATTGGGATTGTGGTTCTGAAGATGGGAGTAAATATCCCGAAACGTAAATTTTCGTAAACATGCAACTTTGATAATACAACAAATATATTCAATTGTTGCTAATTGGAAATAATCATTGCCAACTGACTAAGTTTATGTTTAATTAATAAACTGGTTAGAACAAATAAATAGGTTTTGTTTATTTCATATAACGTAAATAATTCGTGACAACGAAAATCTTTAGGTGTGAATATTTCCTAAACAAAGCGTTTGCGGACATACCTTCAGAGGAAATTTTTTCTTGTTTTGAGGTCTTTAGTTCATATTTTCAATTTCGCCACTTAACCCTGAAATACCCTGTATACTTGCAGCCATGTTTTTATCCTAGCTCTCTGGTTTGAAACTTTTCGTTCTGTCACATCTAAGGACATTAGTAACAGTGATAAATGAATAACTCATTCACACTATAATAGCAATAAATATTGTAATAAAAAATAAAAATGACAATATTTTCTTAGTGTATAAATTTTAATAACTCGTTAAATTTATTAAGTGCCTCGCGCTTCGCCCGCGTTTAGACATTTTAAAAATACCAGAAACACAAACAAACAAAAACAAAAAACAGTGTGCCCAGACGTTTCTACTCTTGCAGAGAAAGAAGTATGGTGGACAATCGAAATCGCATTTGATTTTTGTTTATGAATACTTACAAAGTGGGTCGAAACTTTGGAGTAACGAATAAAATACTATTTTAATAATATAGTATTTATTTGACCGCACCCTCCGACCAACTCTTTCTAATATTACGATTTTAAAGATGCGTTTAGACTTTTCACAGAGTATGGAATCATTTTTTTAAATTTTATTTATTTATTAAATTTACAACTGTATTAATTAAAAATACATTAAGTAATTTTTAAGATAAAAATATATATATGAATAGGCTTATAGAGAAACTAACCACTGATAGTATGTTGTAATGACATAATATTGTTTACTTTTTTTTATATATATATATTTTTAAAATATATTATGACCAAAAAAAGGATAAATAAAAAGTTTATAAAATAATTTTTAATAAATATAATTTTCCACAGGATTTTTTTTATTTGTGGGTGCCTGGCTTTACCAGCCTTTCATCTCTAAAGAGATAAATATAGAAAACATAAGGTACATACTCATTATTTGGTCATCATTAAATATTTACTCTACCATTCTAGCTCAGGTGAGAAGGGGTTAGGTTGGATATTTTTATAAAGCAACAAAAAGGTTAACATATCTATTTACAGAAAGAAATATTTACAGAATTAATACTATGTACAATAAAAAGAAATTAAATAAAAGGGAAAAGAGAGAATTTAAACATAATTACTATATACAATTAAAGATAAATAGGAAGATATTTAAGATAATAAAAATAACAAAAAAGATACTTATTTTATATACAATATTATGGCATGCCACATCTAAACATAAAAAAAAAGATAGTCAAGATACAAGAGATCTAAGATGTAAGAGCACATGCACATGCTAAAATATGAATTAGTAATCAGTCACAGGAAACAAAAGAGAGTCGAGTTTTTTTTTGTTTTTTTCAAAGCTTCTTTATTCTTGGTTACAATATTTATTGAGAGATATTACAATGTGTCACAATTAAAGAAATTTATAATAGTGTTCAAAGAGCACATTCAAAATAAATAAACATCAAAATAATAATACTGAAAGTAGATGTATATAAACTAAAAGAAAATAAACTAATCAAAATAACTACTTAAATACACACATGCTTCTATACAATATCTACAAAATTCATATTATGATTTAAAGATGCGTTTAGAGTTTTCACAAACTATGGCAATCAATTTTTAAAATTTTATTTATTTATTAAATTTACAACTGTATTAATTAAAAATACATTAAGTAATTCTGAAGATAGAAATATATATGAATAGGCTTAGAGAAACTAACCATAGGTAGCATATTGTAGTAATATAATATTGTATACTTTTTACATATATTTTTTAAACATATTTATTGAGAAATATTAAAATCTGTCACAATTAAAGAAATTTATAATAGTGTTCAAAAAGCACATTCACACTCCAGGCACAATAAATAAACAGCAAAATAATAATACTTAAAGAAATGTATATAAACTAAAAGAAAATAAACCAAACTAATGAAAATAACTACCCAAATACACACATGCTTCTATACAATATCTACAAAATTCATATTATGATTTTAAAGACGCGTTTAGACTATTCACAGACTTTGGTGATCAAGTTTTTTTTATTTGTATTTACTTATTAAATTTAGAACTGTATTAATTAAAAATACATTAAGTAAATCTGAAGATAGAAATATATATGAATAGGCTTATAGAGAAACTAACCTCTGGTGTCATGTTGTAACAACATAATATTGTATCCTTTTAAACATATTTATTTAGAGATATTATAATCTGCCACAATTAAAGAAATTTATAATAGTGTTCAAAGAGCACATTCACACTCCAGGCACAATAAATAAAAATAAATAAACAGCAAAATAATAATACTAAAATTAAATGTATATAAACTAAAAGAAAATAAACTAAACTAATCAAAATAACTACTTAAATACACAATTGCTTCTATACAATATCTATAAAATTCATTCACTCAAGATCTTCCAGCCAAGCCTGCTTCCCACTCGTGGAAGGAAAAGCAGAACTCTAGGAGATCCCAGCGCCTCTTACTCAACCACATAACTGATATTGAGGACATACATGGCTTGAATGACCATTACCAAAACTCCAATATATTCTTACAAGTATCTGGGCCACTGCCGCATCAACCTTCGAGGAGGATTGTAGTGGTGGGTAAAGCTATATAGGGATTGTACAAGTCGATTTAGATGATATGTTAGGTTTTGGAGGAATTTGGACAAATTTTCAGTGATAAGGTTTAGGACAAATGGGGTATTAAGGTTATGGTGTAGAGTTTTAGTTTTTAAACTTGAATCCCAACTAGTTCTATTTCTTAAGTGTACAGTGATAACGAAAAGTTTGGCGGGCGCGTAGGGTATATCATTCCGCATGACACGCTATATTTTCCTCGAATAAAGAAATAATCTCGCGAAATTTTCCATTATTTTTATTTATTTATTTCGTTTTTCTTATAATAATAAGTGTCTGTGGAGGGTTCTATATATATATTTTTTTTTTATTCATGATATTTACAACTGTATTAAAAAATTAAATACATTAAGTAAAATTGATAACAGAAAATAATAACATGAAATGACTTGTTGAGAAACTACCCACTGGTAGCACCCTAAAAACAAAATGTATTTACAATAAGAGATATCGAGGCCATCTTCTTTTCAGACGCCTCGGAGGGTTATCAGGAATAGAAGAGGAAGCAAGGTTAGAAACGAAAGGATTCGGATGGTTCTGAAGTTTATTATGGAAGGATTGGTATCTGGATTGGGCCAAATCGGAAACATAAGGAACATTAAGGTCATTATGGATTATTTTATTGGTGACAAATTAAGGAGCATTGAGGATTTTCCGAAGGATTTTGGATTGTAAGGATTGGATACGAGAGGAATTCGATGGCTTAATGGAGCCCCAAAGCTCAACTCCGTAAGTCCAAATAGGTCTTATTGTAGTCATGTATATAAGTCTTTTTTAATTAACTGGAAGCTTAGAGCGTTTGTCTAGTAAGTGTTGGAGTAGTCGGAAACGTCGAGCGGTTTCTTCTCGTTTCAGTCTGGTATGAGGATTCCAAGTTAGACGTTTGTCCAAGTGAAGTCCAAGGTATCGGATTTGTTCAACAGGGATAAGTGGGGTATTGGTTCTATATTTAAAAATAATATAAGAATAAGACCGAAAATCAGGATTATTTACCTCTATCCTTAATGTTAGTTATTCATCAGATAAAAACGTAAGATTTGGATTGAAAAACAATTTAATAAAGTTCAATAAGAGTTTATAGAAAAATTACAAGAAAATAGTAAAGATGTTTTCTTAAATTATGAATGAAACATAATTTATTAACTTCCAGACTTCGATCTACTCAATTTTTGAAATCGAAATTCTAGCCATGAGTGTTCATATCTCTCCTGGAATAATCATATTTTCCAAATTATTCGAAAACAGTTCCTGAGATTCCGTGATTCTATGCGACTAAAAACTCACCAATTCCTAGTTTCCTAACTCATCTTTCCTCACTTTGATAATAGCTGCCTTGTATACGGTGGACTGTCTAATGGGCTGGAGATGAGATCAATGAATTGTTTCATAATTATGGGTTATGGTTGACTGTAGTGAATAATGAAGAGAAGGATGGTTGGGGTGATCAGGTGAATTGAATTGTTTCATTCGATTCATCTTTGGAGCCCCCAGACACTCCCACGTATTCGGTTGGTTAGTGTTGCCGAAAATCGGTCTCGGTCTTGCACTTACAGTGACCCAGAGATCTTTTGTAGTATATATCTTGGAGTTCTGACAATGGCCAGATTCTCCACTCCAGCGCCTTCGCTCAAATTCCACCGGCTTTATCACCAGTGACGTGGTTGAGAGAGTAGCGTAGGGATCTCTTAGAGTTCTGCTTTTCCTTCTATAGTTGGAGGGAGAAGCCTGGCTTGGGGGTTGGCCTGATTGTATATATTGTATATAGGTATGACTGTATTTTTATATTTTTAATTTACTTTAGGTTATTTTATTTTTTATTGTACATAGTTTTGATTATTATTTACTTTTGTTAATTTTATATTTTCTGTAGATATAGTGTGAATGTGTTCATATTTCACTATGATTATTGTACACGTGACAGATTATTATATTTCTAAATAAATAAATAAATTTCAAAAAATATTCCATATGTTTCTGATTGGGCCCTATCCAGGTATCTAATAAACTTCAGAACCACCTTATTTCTTTCGTTTATAACATTTTTTCTCTTCGATCTCTGGCAATCCCTCGAGGATTCAGAAAAAAATATGGTCTCGTGTTCTGAAAGATTGTTGCAATCAGTGAGTTTTTTATCTACAGGTCTTTTCATATCATTGTATTTTTGTGTATCACATTTACTAGATTGATCTTTATTTTTATATTCCTGCTAGGCGTCTGAAAAGGAGATGGCCTCGTGATCTTCTTACTTAAAATTATTTAGAGAGTGCTACCACTGGGTAGTAACTCTTCAAGCCTGTACATGCCATTATTTATATTTGCGCATACTTACTTGTTGTATTTGTATACAGTTGTAAATTCCATTAAATAAAAAAAATAAAAAAAAATAAATTTTTATATAGTTATAAATTTTATTTATATGCTCCATTTAAATTTTTTTTCCCAAATTAAATATTTCTCTAAGTTCTGTTATGTTATTAATATTCCTCTGGACAGGTGGAGGAACTGCTGCACACCCTGGGTCTGGAAGACTGTTTTGACACCAGGACGGAGAACCTATCCGGAGGCCAGAGGAGGAGGCTGTCCATCGCCCTGGAGCTCATCAACAATCCTCCCATCCTCTTCTTGGACGAGCCCACCAGGTCAGTCATCTTGAGGGATGTTTGGAATAGTAAAACCAATTATTTTAAGCGCCATCATAGAATAGAATAGAAAAATAATTTTATTCTGGGACGAAGTCCCTTTAGAATAACAAAAAAGTACAAAATTAAAGTATTATATCTGGCCTAAGTAAAAAAAAACATAAAAAGTAAAAATAAAGAAAAAAAGTAAAGAAAATATTAGTTAGACATAATATGCACAAAAAAAAAAAAAATCTATATACAAAACACTTGAAATGGGTGATAAATATTCCGGACGCAGTCTTATTTAAAATTTTTGCCAACGTTTCAACCCCAAAATGTGGGTCATCTTCAGAGCTGAAAATGTTTTTTTAAATTACAATCAGAGATATAATAGTATACGACCGCTAATTATAAATAATAAACTATAGTGATTGATGGCATATGAATCTTAACTAATATTGTAATACACATATTAAAATTAAATATTAAAATAGTTATACAAACTAAAAATAAAAAAAATAAAAAATAATGTATATAATCCATTTACATAAATTTGTAATATTTTCACTTACTAACCGTGGTTTGAGAACTGATGTTGTTCAAGTACTGACACATGCTTGGTAGGTAAGTGAAAAGGTCAGGGGAGATCATCATCATCATTCCGAATAATATATAAATTTACATAAAAGGTTAACGGGGGATGTCTGACTGTTTTTTGGATAGAAATGTGAATAGGAGGGTTTTAAATGTAGATAGGGAGGGAGAATACCGAATTTCGATAGGAAAGGAATTCAAGAAATTAACAGAGCGAGCAATAAACTAGTTTTGGAGCGATCTGTGAGAAGGAATGTAAAGGTCGGAAGGTCGAGATCTTGTGAAAAGGGAGTGGACTGAGGACTTGAATCGGAGAAGGTTGTAGGCGTAAGAAGGACGATGATTGTTGATTATATGCTAGGGGAACGTACCTAGGAAATATTTTCTTCGGAAGGAGGGGAAGAGCCACTTTAACTCAGTGTAGTGGTGAGAGACATGGGAGTATCTCGGGGCACCAATTACAATTTTCGATCAATATCTCTCCCGGAATAATCATATTTCCCAAATTATTCGAATTGTTACCCTAAAATAATTTATTATACTATAATTATTAAATATTTTATTTAATACTACCTAGTTCTGCCGTAAATACTGTTACAAAAGTTGAACTTCATTTACATCCTTGGGTATTATTTAGATAATCCTTACCTCTATCGGGTTATTTTCTTTACATGTCAGGATAATAACCCGAATTAGTTTGAATTTTTCTTTCGTTCAGTTAAAATGGAGTGAGGTGATAAAGAAAACCGAATAGCTGTGATCGCCTTACACAAAGTTGGAAAATTTAGGTCAGAGATTTTCAACACTTTGAAACCTTTGGGTATCAGCCGTATGTTCGCGTACCGCAATATAAATACATGTAATGAGACCCTATCTGTATGTGACAGACCTCGACCGCACTGTGAGAATTATTTTTATTGTGTTATTATTTATATTACTGCTCTCGATCAATAGGATCTAAGAGATCATAGGTATGCATGTGTTTTTTTTTTTCCTTAGTTATAATTTTCTTATTTTTAGGTTATTTTATTTTATTATTTATTGTATATACTTTTGATTATTATTTTGCTTCTATTTATTTTACATTTTTCGTACATATAGTGTGAAGGTTATCCTAACTCACTATAACCAATGTCTAAGACACAGATTGTTATAATACTCAATAAATAAATTTTAAAAAACAATATGGAGTACTTATCTGCTGTTGCTTTATAGAATTGCACTTATATCTTATCTAATTAAAGTATGATCATTATTTCTTTCATAAAACCGTGATTGTATTGGTACTTTTTTTTTTAGTTTTCTATAAAACAAAAATTAAAAAATTTAAATTGTTACAGTCATTTTAAAAAAATATTTACGATTTTTATGGAGTATAATATAAAATATAAGATAGTAAGTATATCCATTGTTTCCTTCATAAAACTAAGATTGTTATATAATTCATCTAAATAGTTCCAAGTAAGCAAAATAAAAAATGAATATTGAACATTTAACAGTTGACCGTTGCATTCTAAAGGAAGGAGATGGTCCGGGGTGGCGGTCATAAATAGGCTAAATAGTGGTAAAACTATTTTTATTAAAAGTCGACGTTTCGACCCGACTTTGCAGGTCTTCTTCAGGGCTAGAACGGACAAGATACAAAAAGATAGAGAATTGTGGCAGTTACATAATATTTAGAAAAAAATTATAAGCAATGTGAATAAGCTTATTGAAATTACTTAGCTTACTTTGTTCATAGTTTAATGTACTCACTGTTTGTAATTTCAATAACCGAACGTCCGAAACGTCGCCTTTTAATAATTATACTAATTTAATAATTAGTTTTTCCACTATTTAGCCTATTTATGACCGCCACCCCGGACCATCTCCTTCCTTTAAAAATGAATATTTATTAATTTCAATTATGTTATCTCTAGTTTCGAATTTCGATTTAGTCATAACACTGTGTTTACCCTTTATTTTTAATAATGATAGGAATATTGTATCCTTTAAAAAGTTTATTTTATTATTTCAATTTTTATAGAAAGTTTTCCAATAGTTTCTAAAAATATATGCACTTTTTTATGTATTTAATTTCATGCCTTAAATTGAGCTAATTTTATTTCTTGACCCATTAATTAAAAAAAAATAACCTAAAAAGGCTTTAAAATATAATGAAGAGAGGTAGAAAGCATAGCTCTGATCTAATTTTACTTTTAAAAAATCTGGTGTGTCCACTCACACGACTTTCCTACCTATTTCAGAAAAGTTTTTATATCTTTACATATGTTCATGAAGAAACAAAAAAGAATTGAACTAGATTTATTTTCCTGAAAATTGATAAAACATAAGATTTGAGGACGATTTTACGATATTTGATAAACTCAAGCAATGTAAACCGGCTTAAGGTAGATCAGTGTAAAAATGTCAATACTTCCAAATATTGATGATCAAAAACTTTTTGCCATAGCTTAGTATTGACAAACAATGATTTTTGTTAAAAGTATAGGAAATAGTGAAGATTGTGTGATGAGGGCTACAGATTTTCTTACTTTCACTTAGTCATCTTTATTCTTTCATTCACCCCTTTCTGACACCAAGATATGAACCCGTAATGTTACATTGGAAATTGAATAGTTGTAACTTCGTTAATAGTTGTCCAAAATGAACGATTTTTATATGGCTTTGTGGGAAATTTCATTACCTTCAGTCAAAACCCTAGAAAAGCAGTATCAGTCAGGTTTCCGAGAAAATCTTGGCACAGAAAGACAGACCAATGGCTAAAAATATGTTTTTCGGACTCAGGAGGCTGTGAAACGTATAGATCCGTCGAAAACCGCATGTCGGAAATTTGACCCGATCGCAATACTTTCCTTACCTAATATAGGTAGGAAAGTAAAAACAACAACATTGAGCCTAAAATAATAAGAATTATCAATGAGCAAGTGTACAAGGTTTGAGGTTCGAGGATTTGTCACAGAGCGCGCGGCAACACTGTTTGGATATTAATTTAATCAATTTCCATTCGGTAATTAAGACTAACGTAATTTTTTAGAAAGAATTTACTAAAGGGAGGTTATATAAGTTTCTTATCTTGAGCGATTTATTAGACGTGTTTTTATTGGATCATTCAGTTAATTATTGTCTATTGTGCTCAATAAAAAAGGTGATAAAGCTATACTGATTTGCTTGGCAGACTTTAACTTCATTCCATTCATAATCTCATTTGATGATTCATAAAATAATTCCAATAATGAATGGACCTTGATGAATTGCATAATACAAATTTCTCGAGGATGACAGCGCATCAGATCAAGCGGATGTGGTTTGAGCGATATGCAACCCAATGAGTCAGGTTGTTATATTGTTGGCAGAAAACATTTTATGCACTAAATAGAAAATTATTATATGTTATTATTATTTGTAAATAATAAATAATACATGATATTATTAATATTACAAAAAACATCAAATACAACATAAATTGAGCGAACCTGAAATTAATATCGTTTCTGAGCACATGCGAAAGGAGAAAAAATAGTGTCGAAAAACAAATGATAACTAGTTTTATTGAATATGTGGATTAAAATGTCTCAGAAGCTAAAAATCGGACCTGCATACTATAAGCTAGGGATTTGTTCAGCATTTCATCCTCTTTTTAATGAGCTATTATTTATAATTCATATAATTAATTTCGACTTGTTGATGTTTTGACTTCTATCGTGCAGTCTAAAGCACACACCTTTTTTTATTTATTAAAAAATCGAACTATTTGATTGCCATTTGGCAGCTTATTGTGAAATGAAATGAAAAAAATAATTTTATTCCGTGACTACAGTGCCCTTAGAATAATAACAGAGTAACAAACTTATTGGTCTTAGTCTGGCTTAGAATAATAAAAAAATACAGACTAATTAACTGCTGATAGTTATTGCAATTGTGCAGTAGATTGAAATTAAACAGTATACATATGTAAGTTTACATGTTTGCGGAAATTTAAATGTGGTGTACTTGGTGGAACAGGAGTTCTTTGGTTGGAAGAGAGTTCCAAAAGGAGGTAGCACGAATGACGAAGGATTTTCTGAAGGAAGTAGTTTTATGGGAGGAGATATATAAATCTATTGGTTGAGACCTGGTATTAAGAGAGTGGATAGAGGAACATTGAGTAAGGAGTTCCAGAATCTAAGAAAGGTTTTTGGTTCTTAGGACTTGGAAAAGGAAAACACCAAGGAGGAATTGTCGTCTTGAAGTAGGATAAAGCCACTTCAACTCAGTGTAACACAATGAAATATGTGAAAATCTGGGGATCCTGAAGATGTATCTTATGAAACAGTTCATGAGTTTCTTTGATCTCATTTCTAGCCTGGCAGATCCACCTATAACCTCCAGACACCAAACAGCCATAGTCGAAGTGGGAGAATATAAGAGATGTTACAAGGAGCTGTCTGGTTTTTAGAGGAATACAATAATGGAATCTCAGGACTTGTTTATTTATTGTGTACATCTATGTCGTGGCAAACAGATTCTAAAGGGGGGAAAACCTGGTGCTTGTGTGTTATCTCGGTCAAATCCCCTCTTTGCACAGCAGTAGACTAAGTATTTTCAATATTTAAATAAATATAGAATAGTTTTACTATTTATGTATTTTTCTCTTCTCCTCAGGTTGTGCTTTTTCTTTCGGGTATATATGCTTATATTTTATATTTTTGTCTTTATGTGTGACAATATGAGAATGTACGTATAAATAGTTCCTTTTATTAATTATACTTATTTTTTTTTTCCATTACACCACAAGTATCCTAAGATTTTATTTTATCTTAGTGTCTGCATATTATTATATAAACCACTGTAGATATTATTACATTTTGTATTAAGTTAGTTTTCTATTAGATAGCCTATTGTTTATAAATTGTGTAGTTATGTATATATAAATATGTAATTTCTCTTCTTTTTTTTTTTTTCATCACAATTAAGTAATTTTAAGAAGATTTTATGTTCATTTGTATATATATTTTATTTTTTATTTTTCACTGGTTACATACTTTTTAAAAATGTATATAAAATTAAAATTTTTATAAGTTAGTTTTTGGCCAGATTTGTACTTTACTTTGTATTAACTCAATATTGTTATTCTAAAGGGACTTAGTCCCAGAATAAAGTTTAATTTTCTATTCTATTCTATTCTATAAACAGACCTCATGGCTTGTAGTGGTTCAGGTTTTTTTTTTTTAAGTGGAAACTTCTTTAGGTGCGTTTTGCAGTTTTTTTTTTTGGGTGTATTAAAATTGTTTTTTGCATATGGATAAAAATATCTCAGAAACTAAAAATCGGATCTGCATACAGCAAGCGAAAGAAATGTTCATCATTTTGTCCTTCCTGTAATAATTCAAAATAGTGTCCTTCACGCGACGCCATGTTAGTAAGGCGCAAGTGGAAAAAATAGTTTCGAAAATAAATCATAACGAGTTTTATTGAAGATATGGATTAAAATATAAAGATAATATGTATTACTTTACTATCTTATCTTCAACCATTCAAAGGCTAGAACAATTAAAATTTAATGATTAAACTCCGAAACTATAAAGAAAAACTTTTCGATATTACATTGCTCTTAATCTGTATATAAGACAACATACATGTATATATATTGGCTTACATAATATACATATATCTACTGTTTTATAAGATTAACAGCTGTGTTTCTTTGTGAAGAGTGAATTAGATTGAGCCGCCAGATTACCGATGTGTAACTCTCGGGTAAGTTCGTCTGGAATCGACTAATTGTATTAAAAAATCTCAAAAATTAAAAATCGGATCTGCAAACAGCAAGCGAGAGAAATGTTCATTATTTCTTCTTCTTTGTAAAGAGCAATTATTCAAAATTGTATCTTAACGTGATGTGGTATTAGAAGGGTGAAAAGGGAAAAAATAGCTTCGAAAACTAAATGATAACGAGTTTTATTGAAGATATGGATTAAAATATCTCAGAAACTAAAAATCAGACCTGCATACTGTAAGCTAGGGAAATATTAAGCATTTCATTATCTGTATAATGAGCTATTATTTATAATTTATGTTTCATATTTTTAACCTGGCCTTGTTGATGGTTTTACTTCTATCTTTTGGTCTAAAGAACATACTTTATTTTTTTTATTTATTAAAAATCTAACTTATTTATTCGACCTCTAATCCTACTTACCCTTCCGCAGTGGACTGGACACCGTCGCGGCTGCGCAGATCATCAGGCTGCTGAACAAGCTGTCGAGGGCAGGCCGAACCATCGTCTGCACCATCCACCAGCCATCAGCATCGCTCTTCGAGCTCTTCGACAGGGTATACGTCATGGCGCAGGGGAGGTGCATCTACCAAGGAGGTTCCAGTGCGCATCTCTTGTACTACCTCGCTGCCAACGGCTTCGTCTGTCCAACGCACTACAGTATTGCTGACTACGGTGAGTCCATCAAAAATATGCTATTATCATCAATTTTATTCTTTAGAATGTTCTTAATATCACTAACATGGTATCAACCAATTGTTGTGAATGAGAAGCTTACAGTGAATGAATGAATGAAAAAATATTTTATTATTCTAGGACTGTTGTCCCTTTAGAACAAATTATAAATACACATTGTATGTCTGTGTGGTCACAATTAGATTATATATTTACAATAAGAGTCGATTAAAAATAAAAATACTGAAGAAGAGAAAGAAAAGAACAAGAAAATTGTACATACATATAAGAAACTAAAATAACCTAAATAAATTGAGGTAGTCTCTGGAGTTGCTTAGATATTTCTCTTAAGGATATTTCGCAATCAGTCGGATTGAGAAAGGAGTAGGTGTTTAAAGAGGAGAGGTTTCAAAGAGGAAACTGATTGAGCGTGTCGAATATCAGCAAGGATGGAATTCCAGAAGGAGGCGGATTGAATTACAAAGGATTTGTCAAACGCAGCAGTTCGGTGAGGAGGAGGATAGAGGTCGGAAGTACGAGATCTGGTGGGACGGGATTGGATGGAATATTTGAATTGTAAGCTGTGAAAAATATAGGAGGGTCGATGGGTTCTAATGATTTGGTACAGAAAGGTAGCTAGAAAGTATTGACGGCGATAGGATGGGTATCCCTTGAGATTCCGAAAACAATGGTGTATTTAAGGTAGGAATATGCCTCGGATGTTACAAGAACTTTTCCACATTTTTTATTGAAAATGGCTCTAACAGATTTAATTAAAATTGTCACGTCGATGTAAAATTAAATAGCCTTTAGTATCATTTAGGTATTATCATATTGATATCATCACATCACCACATATATAATTAAACTATCGCTCGAAATCGGTTTTTTACCAAATATAAGCTCCTGTCATGCTCAAATACCTTGAATGAGATGACGTTGGATTCATAATTTCACGGGGGACTAGCGAATCGTAGTCTCCACTTTTGTTTTTCTTTCTAAAATAAATAAAATCGGTACAAACATTTTGCTAGGCTTCAATACTGGACCGGTGGTAAGTCTGTAGATACGGGACAAATTGTATCTTGAAGATTTTAATGCGTATAGCAAGACCTGGATAGTTTTTCCGGTTTTTAAGCCCAAAACATACAACAATTTTCAAGATAACACAAGGCATAGAGTTCGCATCCACACTAATTGTAGTACTGTCATTGAATACATGTCTCATTTCGTTGACTTGAGGTCTCTACGATCGAGAGAGGAGGAGTTTATTTTATTTATCGATGGTGTTTTTGATCGGCAAGCCATATAATCGCTAATTTTTCACCGAATCTCAAGAATGAGCCATCAATTTCGAAGGCTTCCTTCTCCTTCAGGCTGGCAAAATAGTCCAATCACCCCAAAAATTCAGGTAAAAAAGTTGTGAAAGAAAACAAACTTTATTTGCGAATAACTAAAAAATTACAAACTTTCCTCTTATTCCCATGATTATATAAAAGATTACTAAATTCACTATAAAAGGAAAAAAAATCATCGAAAACGGACAATTTTTAGCAAAGCTACAGCTTATTGAAATTTGTAAACATGTTGGTTCCAAACAAAAATGAAGATTTAAATAAATTTTGTTTTCTTTGTCGATTATATTTATACGTTGCGTTATTTTCTTTTCTTATTAATTTGGCATTTGATAACAATATGCTGTGTGAATTTTTCAAACGGGCCTACTAATGAAATATAATTACCATAATTTATATCAATTGTCTTCATAAGTATTTATGAACAAAGTAACATTTTTAAGGTTCATCATCTTTTCTTCAAAACCACCTCTATGATCTTCAAAACTGGATTGAAAAATAGAAAATTAAAATTAACAGTAGAAAATCCACCTGCTTGACTTTCTCTCTTAGGAAACCCCTATATCCACCGATAATCATTGACAATAACCTAATGCCTTAAAAAAACTATGTACGGTACCTCGGACTCAACTGACTAGACGATATAACCAACTCTCAGATCTTCTGGATTACAGATCCTTAATTAACTTATGATACAAGCGACTGATCTACAACACCATACTGGGACCAATTTGGGGATGCGAATCAGAACTTTGGAGTCGCAAAATAAATACACATAAATAAAATACAAACAACACAATAAAAAATTCTTATCAATTATCAATTCTCATTTATACATTTCAAATAGCACTATACATAAAGACTTAAACATCCCACAGTAAAATCGTACATCCACAAAAAATACAGTTCATTACATTCTTCAACTCTAAATCACATCAATCCATTAGTCCTTCCTATTTCCTGCTCCCTGTTACCTGATCGACACAGACTGAAAAGAAAATGGCCAAGAGACCTACTCCTACATCAATAACAAGAAAAAACTAAACTAGCAATGTCTAATACATCAGATTTGCTAGACACGCTGCAGCGCAAGCCCAAACGACAAAATGTTTAAACGAATCATCTTTAAAAAGAAACGATTTCTAATGAAAGTGAAAGTAGCATGATACATCGTACCAGATGTCAAGTCTTTTGTTTACAGACAAACAATGTCTAACCTTCATTACTGATAGGAAATTTCTCCTTCCTTCCAATCTTATCATCAAATGTTTTGAAATATTATTGTTATTATTATAAATTCTGGTTTATTATTTTCAATATCGACATCATTATCCGCCTTTTACTTTCAAAATGGCGGCCGAAAAACCTGCGTTGCTATAGGCGCTGAGCTCAATCTAGCTTTTCGAGGACTGTTCCTTCATCCATTGCTATCTTTCATTTTCATATCCTTTATACCAAAACCTTCTTTTTTGTTTCGTATATAAGTTCTTACATCTACTTCATTTTCGAACTACAGCACGATTTAAGCTCTATTTATATTTAACATAACAGTTATGGTAATACTTCACAAGTATTAGCCAGTGGTACAGACTTCTTTTTATCGAATTATTAACAACCGCCTAAAACTTCGTGAATAGATTTATCTCATCGTAACCTACGAATAATTTATAAACCAAAATTCTGGGAATTGGGGCGTTCGTAATCTGGAGATCGACAAACTTTGTCTAGAAAACTCATGAGTACACATTTGCTTTCAACTTGAATCTTAAGATATGATCACAAAATCGAAAAAAAAAAAGGTGGCCTACAAAAATATCGAGCCGTATGGACTAATAACCTAATTATTTTGACATTTTAGGTGGAGTCAAAAACGAACAATGTTTTGTCCGTCACCCGTCCGCGTATTTTCTCCAAAACTACTGGACCGATTTTTTTCAAATTTGGATATAAAATCCTAGGTCGCCCGAGGATGATCCTCCTGAATCGACATTACTATCCGCCTTTTACTTTCAAAATGGCGGCCGAAAAACCTGCGTTGCTATAGACAGTAGCTCCTAAATGAATGTTCCGATTTCAATGAAACTTCGCTAAAGTCATGTTCTCGATACTTTTTAAATTTATCTATATAACATACTTCAACGAAAAGAAGCTGGAAAAAAAGTTACGAGGGATGGTAAAATTAAATTCCCTTTAACTCAAAAAGTATAAACTTTTTTGTTGATATTGTAGATGGTTTTTTAAAAGTTTACGAAATTTATATACATATGTGAAATAATATAAGCTATCCCCTTAGCATTAGCCTTGGGCCGGTGGCCTGCGCCCTCTAACAGGCGACGAAGAAGACAAATTGGCTACGGTTGCCGATTCGATACGGCCTCACCTCTTTGCTTCTACAAGTCGATTCATAAATCGATAGCTACATTAGGACCGTATCTGAGCTGATCGAGGCCAATGCTACCTATATATAGTCAGTCCTCTGCTCACATAACATGCTACATTATCGTTTCGTAACATGGCCTGTGTTCTATCAATGTTACACTGGTGATCTATCAAATCATAGTAATAATTCATCCTTGCGTTTTCAAACTAGATCAAGAAAAATAATCATAGAAATATTGATGTTATGGATTTTTAATCATTACGGAACACGATCTAGTTAAAGTTTTCATTACTGTGTATATTTTAAAATATACAATAACTTAACAATTAGTTAAGAAATCTGTATAAATAAAATAAAGATTTTGTCTGTACATTGAATAGAAGCAACCTGTTTTATTATATCTTTCCGTTTCATTCATTGCAGGCACTAAATCCACGTTTTAAAAAATGTTTGTCTGTATGTCCGCATTGCAACGAAATTTTGTCAGGTGTAAGCTCAGCAATAGCTTATTGTAGAATTTTGAAATTTTAACATTATATTAAGATTTGCTTGACTTAAGCATAGGCTTTAAATGAATACAAAATATCGAGTATAACCAAAGTTATGAATTCTTGAGTAATTTGTCTAAAGATCTCGGTTAATGTTGATAATAAATGTTAATAATAAACATATTTTTATAGGTTAAAGATCATCTATATAAATAAAATAAAGGCTTTCACTGTACATTGAATAGAATCAACCCTCTTTATTATATTTTTCCGTTTTATACATTACAGACACCAAATCAACTTTTAAAAAATTTTTGGTCTGTCTAGATGTCCGTATTGTCCAACAAAATTTTGTCAGGGGTAAGCTCAGCAATGGCTTATGGTAGACTTTTGAAATTTTGACATTACCTTTAGGTTTGCTTCACTTAATACATAGGCTTTAAATGAAAACAAAAGATTGAGTAGAACCAAAGTTATGAATCCTTGAGTAATTTGTTTAGAGATCCCGGTTACTTCGATTTTAATACCAAGCTACTCTATCGCGAGCCACATTTAAAAGTTGTAATACTCAACTCATATTCAACTTAATCCGATCTTCCCGTTAAAGGTGTCATTCAATTCAACTTCCCGAGCCTAACAAGTGTTGTATACATTTTTAGGGTTAACCAAACGGATTAGCCGGAAATCAGGAAAAAAATTTGTTATGGCTATTGCAAAACTTTGACTTCCTTTAGCCCCACCGTAGAAAATTTCAAAACAACCACCTCTCCTCCATCT